TTTAACACAACCAAAAACTAGAGTAGTATGAAGTATTTGCCATTACGGTTGGGTTGCATTTTCCATTTGTTTTTCTTGTTATTGTTCACTTATTACTTCTGTAGATAGGAATAGTACCATAAGAACTGTTTTTGTTACTGTTACAAAAAACCTGCTGACTTGTAAGAGGTGAAAGGGACAGATGTTAAACAAAAATCCATACCGATAGTCATTTTACACTAGAACCTCATGTTATATGTTATACATTAGATTGATTTCTCTTGTGCATAAGCTATAACATCAAAGATGCCAAAGGGTAAATGAAATAAGCTACAATAATATTCAACAGAAGTTAACCTGGACCTTATGTTGTAATAATTTATTCATATTAGCTGTAGTCTTCTGTATTTATATTTTCTGTATTTATTATGAATGATATGAAAAATTGATGTATTTATTGTGGCTTATTATTGCAGTGTATATATTACAAATGAGCATTTTTAAGTATTAATCTGATTTCTTTTGTTAGTGGCACTTGTATTATGCTGTACTTTTTATTATATATTGTACAATATATTGTCCATTTGTTTGCAGCAAAGTAAAACAGGTTTCTACATTATATCAAATACTGAATCTCTGAACTATGCATCCTTTGTAACTTACTCAAACTGCAGCAAAGCATTCCCATAAGGTCTGCAGGCCTACTCGCCTTTATGTAAAAATTTGTGGGTCAGTTTAATTTGGGTCAATAGCAGTTGATTTACATTTAAATTTGGGAATGTTTTGTCCTTATTTTTTATTTTTAATTAGCAAGCAACTCCAGTACCGAGCTTCCTCTAGCTTTCCCTACTGTTGATGGGTTAGGCTGGAAACAAATGCAAAAAGCCCTAGCCTAGGTTAGTTCTCAACTCCAAACTACCTCTTCAATTGGATTCTTCTGCAAAGCAAAATGTCCAGTGCAGTGTGAACAATCAATCCCTAATTTAGTTATCTGGTGAAGTTTTTTTTTTCTCCCTTAAAATAGTGCTAACTATACATTCATATTGTTATAATAATATATGCCAACAAGTTGTCTGCTTAATGTTTGAAAAGCATTCATTCAGGGGCAGGCCCAGGGAATGAGTCATTTTCCTCAAGAATTTATATTCATATATATTTGTAACTAGTTTTGTTTTTCTTGCCATTCAATGGGTGAGGGAAGGAAAGAATTTGAAACTGAAAATAAAATAAAATAAAATTTTAATTTTTTTTAAAGAACTTAATCTTAAGTGAAGAATGGGGGTGTAAGCTTATAAGCATCACATGCCAAAGTAATTATTGAGAAGTGGCAAGGCTTTCAGAAAAGGGAGAGCAATGGGAACAGAAGTCTTATAGAAGTTTCTTTTTTTTTTTCCATTTTATCCTCACAGCCACCTCTGGGAGGTAGGTGCTGTTATTATCACCGTTTTACAAATGGGAAAATTGAGGCTGAGATAGGTTAAGTGACTTGCCCCATGGTCACACAGCTGATAAAATATGAGGTAGGATTTGATCTGAGGTTTTCATGACCCCAAGTCTACCACTCTATCCACTGAGATACCTAACTGCCTAACCTAGGTAACAGGCAGCATAGGGCCAGATTGTGAAGGGTTTTGAAAATCCTTATGAAAAGTATGGTTTTTGTCCCTATAAATCAGCAAGTCAGTGAGACCTCTTTGAAGATATTTGATAGGATGAAAACAGTGTTTTAAAAAAATTAACACAACAATATGCATGATGGCTGTCTGGAGAATGGAATGATGAGGTCAGTCGCAAAGCTTGGCCAGTAATTTATCCAACAAGTGAGAAAAACCCCAGACTTAGGCTGTCATTAGGACTGGAAGGGAAGCAACAGTTAACAAAGACATTTCAAAAGGAAGAACAACACAGTTGGATGACTAGCTGGGTGGGAAGATGAGGAAAGAATCATAGATGATTCCAAGACTTTAAATCTAAGAGACCAGGAGAATGGGGTCGCTAGAACAGAAATCCTGCCGGACAGACAGTATGACCCTGGGCTCTTAACCTCCTTTTGCCTCTGTTTCTCTCATCTATAAAATGAGGAAGCTAGATTCAATGGCTTCTAAGGCCTCTTCCAGCTCTGTCTATGATGCTATGAATTTTGGGTCAAGTTGAGTTTGGAGTGGTGTTTGGACATTCAAATGATAACTATATTTTATATATATACACACACATACATACATATATACATATATAGGTTGCAAGTAAAAAGTTTTAAAATAATAACAGACTTAGAGATATGAGATAAGAATTTAGCAAAAAGTTCAAGTGAAGATATGGTTTGCGAGTAAACAAATATTTATTGAGTGTATATTCTGTGCAGAATACTGTGTAAAGCTCAGCAGGTGATACAAGCATAAATAAGACCATGATCTCTGTCCTTATGGAACTTACAGTCTAGGAGGAGGTATTCAAGACACATACAAAATCTAAGAGAGTTATGCATACAAAGGGATGGAAGTTATAAGAGTAGGGAAGGAAGTAAGTATTGATTAAACATATTCTATGAGACAGACATTGTGCTAAGCACTTGACACATAGCCCATTTGATCCTTACAACAATTCTATGAGGTAAATACCTCATTTTGCAGTTGAGGAAACTGAGGCACATCAAAGATTAGTGACTTACCCAGGGTCACACAGCTAGTATCTGAGGTCACATGTGAACTCAGGACTCTCGGACTCTAGGCCCAGTGATACATCCACTGTACCATCTAGATATCTAGAATATTAGAGGAACAGAAGCCCAAAGCCTGAGTCTTGGGGATGTATATGTTAGAAATAGAAAGGAGAAAAGAAAGGACAGCACCTCTGAGATAGAGGCAAGAAGTCTCAGTGGCTAGGTGAGGAAAAGCTTACTGTGTACTTTTAAGAGCATGTGGCTAAGAGGAAATATGTAAACATAAGTCCCTCCCTAACAATTTGTTACTGGCCCCTCTTCACGGGGTCCACGTTGCTTGTTGTCCTTGGTTTAAGGACTGTATAAGTACTGTTATGCAGAATGAGTCATTCCATCATTCTACAGGAATAATTTTTCTCAGCAGTCTAAACTTCCAGGTGGCATCTCCTTCTGGGGGAGTAGGGGTAAGGGAGGTTCCCCAGCAATAATTACCAGAATAGGATGTTGGCCATCACCACTATGCCAGCAAGTCATGGACTTTGCCTCCTTAGCAAGCCAATTATCTGAATCATTCAGATGGAAATTTTATTTTTGCTTGGATTACCCAGAGAATTGAAGCAGAAGTAGGCCTTTTCAACTGAATGATGGAGATAATTGCTTCACTTAACCAGGAGAGACTGGTGGCAGAGAAGGTGAGAATGGTTTCCCTAACACATTTGCCAAATACCTGACTTTCCCTAGGGACTTTCCTTGGCCTAGTCACCCAGCAGGAACAAATCTGATGCTTGCTGCTTTTTGGATGGGCAGTAAAGCCAGGTAAGCAAACCCTCTGCTTCAGAAGAATGGATTCGTTCAGTTTTCTTCCCTTTCCAGCCAGCTCTGAGGCTTCTCTGAACATGCTTTCTGGAAAGACCTGAGAAAAGAAGAGGCAACGTGTGGGATGTAAAGTGGAGGTTAGCCCCAGGTGCATGAGAACAAACAGGTGTAAGAAGATGATGTTTAGTAAGAGTCTGGGTGAGTAGGTAGACTTGAGAAAAGTCTGCCATCCAGTCATCACCATCATCATCACCATAATTAATATATATAGCACTTATTATGTGCTAGGCACTGGGCTAAAAACTTTACAATTATTATCTCATTTGATAGGAGGTAAGTGCTATTATTATTCCCTTTTTACAGATGCGGAAAGTGAGGCAGATAGAGATAAAGTAACTTGCCCAGATCTTCTTGATTCCAGGCCTAGATCTCTATTCACTCTGCTACCTACTGCCTCTGTGGCATTTATTATAGAGGGAAGCCAAGAAAGAGACTAATAATGAGGCCATAGCAGTCAGAGGACAGATAGCAATGTCCTGTATAATAGAAACTTATCTAATAGTAAAATCATTCCTATTTAACTTCAGTCATTCACCAATGACAGATTGTATACACAGGTGGGGAGTCTTTGGGAACAGAGAGATGAGAAAATAAAATTCAGTAGTCATTTAGAAAGGCATATAGGTGGTACAGAGGATAGAGTGAGGGGCCTGGAGTTAGGAAGGCTCATCTTCCTGAGTTCAAATCTGGCCTGAGACACTTACTAGCTGTGTGACCCTGGGCAAGTCACTTCACCTTGTTTACCTCAGTTTCCTAATCTGTAAAATGAGCTGGGGAAGGAAATGGCAAACCACTCCGGTATCTTCGCCAAAAAAAACCAAAACAACAAAAACAAAAAACCCAATGAGGTCACGAAAGGGTGGAGGGGACTGAAAATAACTTAACAACAGACATTTAGTAAGCATTCATCGTGTTCACAGGAAAAGGAATGGAAGCCACTGTCTTAATTCTTTTGAAAAGTTTGTACTTGGGAAACAGTAATGACACAGAAATTAGTGACCAGTTGTGAAATCCAACCAAAAACTTCATTTTCTAAGCTTTGTTAGCTTATTTTAATTTTGCAATGGCTCCCCCTCCTGGACAACTCACTGAACTTTCTTTAAGATTCTTCAATCCTGAAAAGGAATTTAAGATTAAAGTATCACATATTTTAGATTTTAAAAAGTTAGAAGCCATCTAGTTCAACCTTCCCATTTTACAGATAAGAAAATGGAGGCCCAAAGAGGTTTGAGGTCACACAGGTAGCAAGTACAGAGCACATATTCAAAACCAGATGTTCTAAATTCTGGGGAGGGGCGCTTCCCACTATAATGTAAAGACTCAAGATGAAGACAAATGTGCTATTTAAGTTTTAAACTTATTTTGAAGAACAATGTTATATTTTAGTGATGTCATAATAAAGAATATTTGCTGTTCAGGGCAATTTAAAAAAAAAATGGAGCCGACTTAAAAAGAAACAAAACCAAAAAACTTCAGTCCACCAAGATTCATCTTAGTTTTGTTTTTAATTCTATCCAAAAAGTGTCACAGGGATATGACCTTCAAATACTGCTTTCTAACAAATACACCAACAAGTCATAGGTTGGCTATGGTTTGGACTAGAATGACCTCTGGGTTTCTTTCAGATTCTGAAAACTGATGAGCTCTATGAATCACAGAATGTGAGAGCTGGACAGAACTTCAGCAGGCTCCTAGTCCAACATTTAAATGGAAGGAATCCTTACTACTAACACACTGTGCAAATGGCCACCCAGTCCCTGCTTAAAGATCTCAAAGGAAGGGAACTCTGTCCGTCCTACTTTTGGGCAGCTCTAATTAATAGTTAGGATGAATAGGAAGTTTTCATGATATCCGGTCTGGCCTCTTTGTAACATCTACTCATTGTTCCTGGTCCTGTCTTCTGGGGTGAGATGGAACAAATTTGCTTCTTGCTCCATATGCCAGTCCTTTAAATACTTGAAAACAGCTGTCTTATCCATCCTCAGCCTTCTCTTCTCCAGGTTAAATACCCCAGCCTCCTCCAAGCAATTCCATTTCCTTCAAAGTATTCACACCGCAGGAAGGTGGACACTCAGGCCAGGGATGGTGATGTTTCTCTCCATCTGGAGAATTCTTGAGAATCTGAGGTACATTGTTTTGAGACCTTCAGTCACGGCGGACCTTTATCCTGCAATGATTGTTTTGATATTTGAAAAGAGTTAAAAGTAACTCAAAGCTTAGTCTGGTAAATTTGTCAAATCAAATTTGAACGAATCAATTTGAGACCATCTAGCTGCAGGGGGCTTTCCGGAGGAAATGGGAGCTGGGGCACTTCCCCACATCTAAATTGCAATGTCCCCCGTTAGCAGACTGAATAAACATGTGAATAGCTTCTTGAAGGCAAGGATCTGGTCCTTTAGCATGTCTCCAGTATAGCAACTAGCATAATAAACTAGAGCAACAAGATCAAATTGAGTAATTGATACATATTTGAAAATTGCTAAAAATATCACAGAGTCAAATCTGGCAAACATAACAGGCAATCAAATTAAGTCATACTATTTTTTGATAAAACTAAATATAATCAAAAAATAATGTAGTTTTTTTGCATACTTGATAACCGAAGTTTGTTTGCAAAAAGTTTCAAGAAGGTTTCGGTAGGATTGTGAGAATAATATAGACTCCCCAATATCTACTTGGAAGGACAGCATTTATTTGAATACTTAGATTCTGTGTATTTGTACGAGAGGCAGTTGTGACTTTGGAGTAAGGAAGAGGTAGGTTCAAGGCCTAACTTATACTAGATGGGCAACCTCTCTGTTCCTCGAGCAACTCTCAGACAAATTGCCAACTTGAGCATGTTGAGGGAGTATAAGAACTACCATCAATCACCACCACCACCACAAGAGCCTACTGTGTGCCAGGCACTTTTGCTAAGCACTTTACAAATAGCATCTCATTTGTTCCTCAAAACAGTCCTGAAAGGTAGATGCTATAATTATCCCTATTTTGCATTCAAGGCAAATAAAGTAATCAGAGGTTAAATTATTTGTCCAAGGTCACACAGCTAGTGTCTGAGTTCACATTGGAACTTAGGTCTTCCTGATTCTAGGCTTAGCACTCTTTCCACTGCGCCAGCTAGCTGTCCTCCTCACACCAATAAACTCATAGCAGTTGTGTCCAATTCAAACAGAAATGGAGGCAACTGATCCATACACAAAGATCCTTGCAGGTTGTATTTGTATTTTAAGATATATCCTTATTAAAGTTTCATTGTATTTTTATTTATTTTGTTAAATATTTCCCGATCACATTTTAATCTGGCTCAGGAGCATTTGAGAGTGTCGTAGGCTTCATGTGGACTATGGGCCACATGAGTAATACCTCCATAGTGGATTTTTGTTGTTTAGCTATTTTTTCAGTCATGTCTGACTCTTCATGACCCTTTTGGGGTTTTCTTGGCAGAGAAACTAGAGTGATTTGCCATTTCCTTCTCCAGCTCATTTTGCAGATGAGAATACTGAGGTAAACAGTTAAGTGACTTGCCAGAGGTCACATAGCTAGTATTTGAGGCCAGATTTGAACTCAGGAAAAGGAATCTTCCTGATTCCAGTCACGGCACTCTCTCCACTGTGCCACCTAGCTGCTCCTGATAGCAGGTGGAGTACAGTAATTGGGTCAGGAAGACCCCAGTTCAAATCTCACCTCTGACACTTAATAGCATCTGGGTGACATGGGCAGATAAACTGCTTAACCTCTGGGAACCTTAGGCAATGCTGTAAGACTTTTATCATATAGATGAATCATGATCTTCAAAACGCACTGACATGTTTGTTTTTAAAAGTCAGTCATATAACCTTATAGTCAGAAGAACATCAATAAGAATTTTCTATCATTTTACTGTTATCAAGAAACCAATTTAGCAGCTATTATTAGGCTAAACGCTTGCTGAGCTATGAACTGTGATTAATAGAACCAAGGTTTACTAGACAAAAACATGTTGACATTGAAAATGTTATGCCTTAAAAACATCTTTTGGTTTTACAAGGTCACTGTAATATAAAAGATTATTTATAGTAGCAAGATGGACTATATCAGCTTAATTTTCACATATTTAAGTTGTCCACTCTAAATAGGTTTTTAAAAATTATTCTTTAGTGTTAACAATAAAAGGGAGTTAATACTTTAGGTGATTCAGGAGAGAGGAACATTTTTTTCTCTTTTAGGGGAACAATGAGTCCAGGGCTCTCCCTCCCGGTCTTCCCCCCTCCCCTCAAAAAATGAAGGTGTCAGCAGAGAAGGCTGGTATAATCTTTAGGAAGTAAAACACAATTTAGTTTCAAATTTAGTTTGAGGCTTTTGGGTTTGTTTGTTTGTTTTTAAAGAGACCACCTGATTTAAGCTTCTAAACATCTTAAATGAGTCTTGTGATTTAGCTAAGATAAATTGCTTTGACCCAGAGGCTTCCTGACTTTGATGTGGAGAGCAAAGCAGTGAAGTGAGAAGAGCAGCAACCCAAGACCCCCAAGGCTTAGGGTCAGGAGGACTAGTGTGCTCCTAGCTACAAGGGGGAGGGATACCAACAGTGTGATGGGGCTGGCCGCAGATCCCACATTTCCTAAGGAAAGATGGCAGTCAAGTCTCACAGCAAGTGGGTAGCCCCACTCAATAGCATTAGAGAGAAATGATTACCTACCATGAACAGTCCAGAAGCAAGCTCTCTTCTTTCTCCTATTCATTTCAATCCCTTCCTTCTTGGTTTCTTTCCAAGACTGAAGAAATCTTTGTAGAATGCGTACCGTGTACAGTGCCCTGTGCTAGTTGCTATACTAAAGGACCAGATCCTTGCCCTCTGGGAATGTAAGCTCTATTCACATTTTTATTTACATTGAGCTAGTGGGTGGCATAGCAATTTAGATCTGGGGGACTGCCCCAGCTCCCACTTCCTCCGGAAAGCCCCCTGCAGCTAGAGGGCCTCAACACAGCCACACAGGCCCTATTCTTAAGCATATTCTTTCATTTGAAATTGAAAGTACAGCGAATATTCAATGTGTATTGACTCTGAAGCACAGCCTCGTTAACTGCTACATAAATAGCATCTTGCTTGTATTAACTAATCTTTCTAACTTTAAATATACAGTGGGACAGGTCTTGTATTGGGCCACAGTCTATTCAGGGGTAATGTCCATTAGGAAGCACACCTAAAACTTGTCATTTATTTTTTGCAAAAACTCAGCAAAAGCCCTGGAATTTAAAGAGAAGAGGACTTGGATAGGCTAATAACAATGAGACAAGTCATCGATGTGGTCAATATACATCATCAAAGGGAAGGATGTCAATCTCAGTGTATCAAATTGTCCCCAGAAAGTGAAGAAACAGAGAGAGGGAGCAGGGTGCAGTGGAGGGAGCCCTAGACTGGGAGTAAGAGAACCTGGGTCCTCACTCAGACTTGGTTGTTGTTGAGCTATTTTTTTTTTTAGTTGTGTCCAATTCTTTGTGACCCCTTTTAGAGTTTTCTTGGCAAAGATGCTGACTAGAGGGGTTTGCCATTTCTTTTTCCAGCTCATTTTACAGATGAGGAACTGAGGCAAACAGGGTTAAGTGAGTTGCCCAGGGTTACACACCTAGTGTCTGAGGCCAGTGAACTAAGGAAAATGAGTCTTCCTGACTCCAGGCCTGGCACTCGATCCACTGTACCACCTAGGTACCCTGGTCTGACTTGGACCAGGCAATTAATCTCTCCAGATCTTAGTTTCCTCAGCTGTAAAACTTGAGGGAGCCCCAGCAAGTTAGCCCTAAAGTCTTTTCTAGCTCTTTAAATCATTGGTCCAATTCCAATTAATCCCTATTAATGTAGAGACTGGACCAGTGATTTCATTGGCATAGGAAATGGAGAAATAAAACATAATAAATTGTACCGTGACAAGGTAAAGCAGAAAGTCTCATCCACCATTGTAAAAACCATCTGATGGCCTTAGATAAGAGATTGGATTACTTCAACCCAGCTGTCTTAGATCAAAGACTTCTTTAACAATAGCAAAAGATTCAGTAGCCTTCTTTTTTTTGCCTTCTGCACTGGGAAGGTTGTCTCAGTTGGACAAGTCCTGCCAGCTTATTTCCAGCTATTCCCCCAGAAACCCCCAACTTTGTTTCCCTTTTTGGTTTTCTGTTGGCTGTCCTTTCCTTCCATCTTTACACTGGGAACTGGATGTCGGGACACAAGTTCTCCCAAGATGAATCGTTTTTGAGGAGTCATTTTGCATCATGTATTAGAACAAACCCAATATATTCTTTCAATCTCTCAAGTTATTTGACCTCTAGTCTCATCTATGAGTAGTCCAGGAACCCTTACTGAGAAATTCCCCAACAGGGACTCCCAGGTGAGGAAATTATCTTTACTAGTGCAGATTTGCACCCCTTCTGCACTTAAGAGTCTTTAAACTTGGCCAGAGCACTGAAGACGTTGAGTGTCATACCTCCATACCATAGGGCATGGCTCCTCTGACTTCCAGGGCGTTGCTCATTCCACTACACCCTGATCCCTGTCTCAGCTTCCTCACTTTCTGTGGTCATTAAGTTAAATTGAGATTCACAGCTTAGGTTGTCCTGCCTCCAAGCCTGACTCTCAAACCTTACTGCCTCCTTGCTCTAGTAAACTTTATTTTAAAACTTGGAATGTGCTAGTGTTCCTTGTGCATAGATAAAATGCCAATTGCTCTAGCAAACTCAGCTGATCTAGGCACCTGCTCCTCCCCTGGAGGAGGGCCTTTTCTGCTTTTGTTTATTACTTTGATTTCTGGGGTCTTGGGTCATTGAGAATTCCTGGGTAGCCAGAAGGGAAGAGAACTCTTAAAACAAGCTCCTCCTGTCGTTGACTAATCGTGATGCCATAGTATTTGTAAAATCCCCGAGGGGCTCTGAAGCCTCAGTCTGTTGCAAAATGGGACCAGTAATCTGACTGAAGGGAATAATACCTGACTGGGGAAGAAAGTCTTCACCAACTTTGTAGAGACAAGATTAAGGCCTTTGACTATTGTGTCATTATAGGGTGAGCCCCTATTTTTGACTGCAAAGTTTTCAAAGGCTTCCCATATGAAGTTGCCTATTTATAACAGAAGTAATTTCCTTAGCCGGGAAAGAGTAATCAATAGCAGGGTGTGTGTTTCGTCTTTCTCTTCCTCTTTCCTCTCCTATGTGTCAAAGTCAGGACTTGAACTCAGGAACAGAACTCTCCTAGACTCTAGGACAGCTAGGTAGCTCAGTGCCTAGATTCAAGAAGACTTATCCTCCTGAGTTCAAATCTGGACTTAAACATTTACTAGCTGTGTGACCCTGGGCAAGTCACTTAACTCTATTTGCCTAGTTTCCTTCATCTGTAAAATGAGCTGAAGAAGGAAATGGAAAACCATTCCAGTATCTTTGCCAAGAAAACCCCAAATGGGGTTGAAAAGAGTCAGACATGACTGAATAACAACAGCTTCAAGGCATACCCTTTACTCACTATCAAAAACAACACCTGAATTCATCCTCACTTTTTACCCAACTGCCATTTTTTTTTCTTTTGTCCTACATCAATCACTAAAAGCTTAAGGGTATTCAGAGCTTAATGGTCCCAAAATTTCTTACACTTTTAAGGTCTTGATTTATCCTAAAATACCCATTTACTTATATTATCACCCTGCTGCCACCCAAGTCCCCTAGCTTCCCACTGTCCACCAGATGAAATGCGAATCTTAGTCTGGCATTCATGGTCATCTGTAAATTCTTTTCTTCTGTTTACCTCTCCAACCTCATCTCACACCATTGCTTTACTACAACTCTACAGGCAAACAGGTCAATTCTTTTCTTGAAAAGACCAACAAGAAAGACTAACCCCCTTTCTTGCTGGCTTGCTCTCCAAGTTCAGGAAATGTCCTCCAGCTCTTCTCTTCTGGTCCAAATCCCATCCTTCATTCAAGACCTACTTCAAATTTTCAGCAGAAAGCTCTTACATTAATGATCCTGATTTAATTAACTTAGCTCGATCTCCTCTTTAAATTAAGGGCAACCTGATTAATATTTTACTTAAAGTGAACTATGCTTTCCCTTCTCTAAGGTTTACTCCTTTGATGACCATTACCTGGAATAGAATATGTCTCAATGAAAGTCCTTACCCACTATATAATTAAATTTATAAGAACCAGTTAGTACATCTTAGGCATTACTTTGGCTGCAATAATAAGCATATGTTTCAGAGTAAATTACACACACACTCAGTCTTTGCTATGCATCCAATGAAAGGATTTTGCTAAGTATAGGGCCCAAGTGGCTATGATGAGTTTTGCCGGCTGTAGGGTCTTCCCCAAGGGAGATGGGTGGGTGCTGGAGCCACCCAGATTCACCTACCCAGGCCTAAGGCACTTATCCTCTGCACTACTCATTTGGTACTTAACAAGAGGCAGCCTTTGAACATGCCCTGTTTCCCCAGGGAAACTGTAAGTCTCTTGAGCTGTGGGATTTTTAGCTTCATTTTAATTCTAAACATCCAATTCAATTTCAATTCAATAAATGTTTATTAAGCATCTACTATATGCCAGGCGCTGTGCTAAGCATTGGTGAGGAAAAGGACCACCCTTTCTCAGAAACTAGAGTAAAGGAGGAATAATCAAATTTAATTTTGGAAGAAATCAGTTATATTCTGGCCCATTACCATCAACTCTCAAATAATCATAGATCAAAAGCTGGAAGGAACCTCAAAAGTTATCTAGTTAAATCCTTTCATTTAACAGATGAGGAAACAAATCTAGAGAAATTAAGTGATTTACCCAAGGTCATGTGACTAGTACTTACTAGCTGTGTGACCCTGGGCAAGTCACTTAACCCCAGTTGCCTCCAAAAAAAAAATATGGCTCCATTTCCTCTCTTCTCACTGCCTTATAAACATTCTGCAAATTAGAATCTAATCTCAGATGAAATGCCTTTTCTCAGGCCTCATCTTTGAATTCAGCCTCAAGATTTGATACTGTTGACCACTTTCCTCTATTCCTGTATATTCTCTCGCCCCTGGTTTTTCACAGGACATCTCATCATCCCACCTCCTTTCCTCCTCCCCTTCCTTCCCCTCTCCTATTTTTCCATTCTTTCTCAGTTTCATGTGCTGGAGCTTCATTCACATCATGCCAATTAATGGTGGATTTTTCCCAAGGCTCTGTCCTGGGCCTTCTTCTCTTTTCTCCCTACCCTTTCTCATTTGTTCACCTTTATCAGCTTCCCTGTGTTCAATGATCATTTCTATGCAGACAATTCCCGCTGAATATATCCAACCTTGGTTCCAGTCCAACACCACCAACTATATATTGGATAACTATCGTAGGCATCTCAAACTCAACACATGAAAAATGGACCTCATTATACTTTCTTCCAAATCCACTTCTCTTCCCAATTTCCCTATTATGGTAGAAGAGAAAAGGGAGGAAAGGGAAAGGGAATGTGTTTATTAAGAGCTCATTTTGGGGTTAGCTACTGTCATACGGCATCATCATACTTCCAATCCCCCAGATTGCAACTTTGACATTGTCCTTGACTCCTCACTGTTGCTCACCCCAATCATGTGCCAAGTCCCATCATTCTTATCTCTATTATTTGTCATGTATTCCCTCTTCTCTTCAGCCACTGAACTAGTTCAGGTCCTTACATCTCATGATCAGACTATTGAAGTTGCCTCCTAATTAGTCTCCCTGCTTCAAGTTGCCTGTCATTCCCATCCATCCTCCACAAACTGAAAAAGTGACATTCTTTTTTTAAAAATTAATTTAGTTTTAGTTTTCTACATTCACTTCCATAAGATTTTTAGTTCTAAATTTTCTCCCCCTGCCTTCCCTCCTCCCTCCCCAAGATGGCATGCAATCTGATATAGGCTCTACATTCATAGTAAACCTATTTTCACATTAGTCATGTTGTAAAGA